GGTAATATTTACTTAGTTCATTTGTCAGTAGCGCGGTAATTACAATGCGTTTTTAAACCCAGAATCAAGATGTGGGTTTCCTAAAAATTCAAATTGCGGGAAGCCTGAAAAAAGATCCAGTATCCACCACTGCTGGACTGACCATAGGGCATAGCGGGCAACTGCCCGCTGGGCCGACCCTTTCATCTTTTATGGGCCGGTGTCTGTTTTATTTTTATTTTTTTTTCCCTGGCCTCTAGTTGCGGACAACTTGTCCGCGCCGCCCCACGCGACGCCTCGTAAAAGTTGGTGGATTGGCCAATTGGTAATAATACACTCTGGGCTGGACCAATAGCCAGAGGTCTGATGCACCCGCCAGTTGTTTGTGAATCTCAGTAAACAGACAGACGAGCTTAACAAAATGGAGAACAAAAAACGGAAAGCAGGAGCGGAGAAAATTCGACTAAAAAAGAAACTGGCCCTTCAGGCTGATGCTGGCACATGTGTTAAAATCTCACAGTTGTTTGGTAGTGAAGGTTCAAGTAAAATCAATTTAGGAAGTGATGGAGCCTCAGCCCAGCGACAGGTTAGAGAAGAAAAGAGGGAGGAGGAGGAGAAACCCGAGCCGGTGTTGTGCCATTAATCGTTTCGCTGCCAAAAAATGATTAGCCACCGCGGGATCGCGCACGGTTAGGTAATTGCATTTCTAGACAAAATTCCCCAGGATTTCGCCCTAAAACTCAGCATATCTAGCAATATGGACATTCAGAAAGCAAAGATAACCTCTTCCGGTACTTAAACAGATGTTTATCGCGGATATTAGTGTGGCAGTGTTTGTGGCACCCTGCGCGGGAGCACGAGGACGTGCTTGTGGAAAGAGGGAGGAAGATGTGGCAGTGTGAGCATCCTGTCACAATGTCTTGATTGATCTTGCGCCCTGGATAGTTAGTCAAGGGGATGTTCCTTTGGCTGACTGGTTAGAGCGTATGACTCTCACCCCAGAGGTCTGGGGAACGAATACAACCCGGGCCGTCGTTTATCCACCTTGCCACGTTAGTTTTTCCAGTTCGGAAGTTGTTTTAAGTGTTGCTAATTGTCTTAAACGTTCACAATGAGGATATATTAATCCTTTTTGCAATATTTGCGATTGAAAGATGGTTTGTGGTAAGAACTGGCTTTCTTTATGTTACAGCCTTGATACTAAAAAAATAAATAATGTAAAATGGCACCCTGTATTGAATGTAAACGTTGTATAAATGTAAATAAACAATTCTCCAGCGATTTAATTTTTTCCCCTTCCTTTCTTTAGTCCACTTGACATGGAGCCACAGTTAACTAGTTTGGGGTACATTTTTACTTGGAAAAATAGTATTTAAACTGATCAAGCTTTGGCTTTACAATGACACTGTGTAGGTTGCTAAACATTACGTTGCTCTATTTAAAAGTAACAAGATAAAAGCTCTTCAGCACATACAATTAAGATTGGTCACTTGCCAAATAGACTACACCCTCCCGTTTACCTATAAGAAATGCCTCAAAATATCTTTAAATTCTTTATTGATGATTTAATTGTAGACAACTAAAATGGCATTTTACTTGCCAAAAAGTGATTGAATCGCTCAGATTTTCATGGAGGCTAAAATTGACTAAATAAGGGTTTTATGTATTATCTGTTGATGTTACTGTACTCATACTGCCTACTGTGTCATCAAAAACACCCCAAAAATGGCAAAAAAAAAAAAAAAAAAAAAAAGATAATTTCCCTTGCCAAAAATTGATTACAGTGTCCTGGTCACTTGTAAAGGGTTACATTTACCTAAATATTACCTTATTTATTATCTCTTGATGTTATTAGTGCCATCACAGGTTGCTGGGTCTCTTCATAGACACCTCAAAAATGGCAACAAATGATCATTTCCCTTGCCAAAAATTCATTACAGTGTCCTGGTCACCTGTAAAGGGTTAAATTTACCTAAATATTACTTTATTATCTCTTGATGTTATTAGTGCCATCACAGGATGCTGGGTGTCTTCCACATTCATAAACACCTCAAAAATGGCAACAAATGATCATTTCCCTTGCCAAAAATTGATCACAGAGTCCTGGTCACCTGTAAAGGGTTAAATTTACCTAAATATTACCTTATTTATTATCTCTTGATGTTATTAGTGCCATCACAGGATGCTGGGTGTCTTCCACATTCATAAACATCTCAAAAATGGCAACAAATGATAATTTCCCTTGCCAAAAATTGATCAGAGTCCTGGTCACCCATAAAGGCTTAAATTGGCATAAATATTACTTCATTTATTATGATGCTGGGTGTGTTCCACAATCATATTCGAATAAACATGAAAATATTCCGTCCGCATATCTGTTTCTTGTTATACATATAACAGCTAGAAGGATTTACAGTTAAAATAGGAGAAACATTTCAGGGAACTATTGTCAATTAACCACAGAAATAGGGACTAATAACATCAAGAGATAATAAATAAGGCAATATTTAGGTAAATCTAACCCTTTACACTTGACTCCCCAGGAAGGGTCGTAACACCACTTGCCTCATGCACATAAGTGACCAAAACAAAGCAGCATGGAGACACTCCGTCTCCAACCACCTCTCAGGCAGCAGCCTGCACTCCCAAGTTCTACACATCACCAGAACATAAACAACCGCAACACAATAAAAGCAGTGTTATACAAAATGGAAGGCCTGTAGTGTTTATTCTCTTACAGTAACAACTTATCAATTTTTTGGAGGAATTTATTTAAGATTTTTTGGTTTTTATTAATTGTGCAATAGAAAAACAATCGCTAGATTAATCATCTAAATAGTCATTAGAATAGTTGACTATTCGATAAAATAATCGTCAGAATAATCATTTTAAAAATAATAATTTACCCCCAACCCTACTTTTTTAGAATACCAGGATAGGAAGGATGGTGTAGGTTTACGTTTATTAGATTGATACATAAATATTACCAATAAGAAAGTGTACGTTGGTGTGTGTCAGAAACAGCGTAAGGCTTAATGTCTTTTCCAAAAAAACCAGGTGATGGGCCGGTCTCCAGTCAAAATGCCCGGGCTGAATTTTTGTCCCAGTCCAGCCCTGGTATCCACATATATGAAGTCATTTATGGACTCAGCTTTGCGGGCATTCTATGAGCAGAGAGGACGCAGCGGTAATGGCTCAAATACTCCAGCTGCGTCCTGCGTGCGGCCGCTGTTATATTCACAAAATCGCTCCACCAATACAAAGTAATTAGTTTGTGATCGTTTATATCCGCCCAAATTCTCTGGTACTTCACATACTTTTCAGCTGAGTTCATAATCTGTGCCCCGGTGATTTCAACTCATTGCTGCTGGAGCGCAGCGCATATGAAGCTTTTTTTATTATTATTATTTTTATTTTTTTTGCGTTGGTCCATTTGGCTGATTAGTTAGAAAGTAGGCAATCTAGGAAACAGTTTTTCTGGAAAACGGAGAAAACATGCAGCATGCAGGTTAGAGAGAGAAAGGGCAGGAAATTATTCAAATAAAATCAAGAAAATAAAACAAAGTGCTTGAAAAGAAGATTTATCCCCAATACACATTTTTACCAGCGAAAAGCAATAATATACATAAGCATTTAATATTTATACATGTGATAGAATCAGATCACCCCAGAAGTCAGTCCCACATCCAGGGCCGTATCAAGGCATTTGAGGACCAAAGCAAATATAGGCTTGGAGCCCCCACCACCTCACTCCCTGTTCAGATGGCCCTATAAGATGGCAGCGTGCTGAGAGTACAGATTGTTGTTGCTTTTATTTAATAAACAATCATTTTAAAGCACTATTATTATATCTGACTGTTTTTAACAGCAACCCTAGCTCAGACACCACATCACTTTCCACTTATATGTCATGAGCTCAGCGAGCGTCAGATTACCAGATTCATATTGAAGTTGTTTTGGTGAAAGTAATTTAAAGTAATGCAAAAGTAGTGTAATGCCTTGCATTTTAAAACCAGTAATATTGTAATGTAATGAATTACTTTAAAATGAGGGTAACAAGTAATAAATAATGCATTACAGTTTTGAAGTAACTTGCCCAACACTGCTCATAAATAGCTTTAAACAACAAACATTAAACAAAACACTTAACAAGATGTGGTAACACATTCATGTGTGTCACACTTACATACCCCAACCCACTCCTGTGTCAGTAATATATAATCACTGGCTGCAGTAAAGTTAACCACAGAACAATGCTATAGGCCTAAGCGACTGCTAACGACCTTGTTTGACGAAAGGAAAATAACAAAGACGAACGTGGAGCACCACTCACATTTCAGCATGTACTGGAAATAACCAGACTTTGCATGAATGCCAGATTGATCCATAGCTTGTTGTCCAGTCCGGTCTGCTTCCTTGTTCGTCTGCAAACCCTTCCTCAACAAATCACTCCTAGGGCTTCGTGAACCCCAAAAGATTTTGATTGTTTTACAGATTCTCAAAGAACAGTTTACAACTAAACCTCATTGTAGCACATCTTTAAATGTCTGCATAATGGTTTATTTGAATGTGAGCAAACGCATAGAAAAACTGTAGCTTACCGTGCTAGTACTCTTTTGCAAAGGGCTTTGTACTCAACAAGTCAATAAATTTGAGCTAAACCTGTGTGTTAAATATGAAGACTGGCTTAGCTGCAGAGAGTTCATCGAAACCTCCACAAGAAGTATCTAAGCAACCAAATTTGAACTCACTGCAATGAAAAAATGTTGCCTCGTCTGAACTTTTTGTTTTCTTTTATATCATGTGGGATTAATTTACATCACTTGGGGGAAGATGGTGTCAGAATGCAGTTCTATCTGGATTGTAACACTTTACTGCAGATAACAAGACGCTGTGCCTGGTCAAATTGCTGAGTGGTTTCTGTAAGAATTAAACTGGTGTCATGTTAGAAAAAGGACTATCATGTGTTTTTTGTTTAAAATTAAAACTGCTGTTTCTGTGTTTCTCTTTCTCCTGTCTAGCGATGGCTGGGCAGACAGGTATGATGTAACTGACGGGTATCAGAGAGAGGCAGCTGGTGGAATCACCATAAAGCTGAAGTCAGCATATGTGAACTGGTTTGATGATTACTACCTGAACCTGAAGCCTGATTCCAACCTGAGGAACCCTTGGTTCCCTGAATTCTGGCAGCACCGTTTCCAGTGCAGGCTGAGAGGACACCCTCAGGAGAACACAAAGTACAACCGCACTTGCACCTGTTAGTACAACTATTCTGATTACTAAGTGCACACTTTTCAATTGTCCATGGCTCTTGTAGCGTAAGGATTTTACTTTATAAGCAGGATTCTGTTCACTGCAGGGAGGGAGTCTCTGCGTCATCAGTATGCTCAGGACACCAAAATGGGCTTTGTCATAAATGCCATTTATTCCATGGCTTACGGTCTACACGCCATGCAGCAAGTCCTCTGTCCAGGTTACAAGGTCTGTTGCTTGACCCTTTAATCATTTTAGATTTCTAGTAGCAACAGTGCTGACAGTGTTTGTTCCTCCACAGGGTTTGTGTGAAAACATGCGACCGATTGATGGCCGCAAGCTGCTGGATTTCCTGATGAGAACCAATTTTACCGGCGTATCAGGAGAAGCTATCCTCTTCGACCAGAACGGGGACTCACCGGGCAGGTAAAGGTTCTGCTGACAACAAAAAAGAACTGAGAAAGAGCAAAAGAATGGCTGGAATAAAAAAACTAGAACAGGTTCTCTAAAAAATCGATTTTTTTACTTATTATTTTTGAAAATGATCAGTCACTCTAAGGCTAAACATGAAAATAGTCTACCCTTATTTCCTGCAGTAGCCGCTGATGGACAATAGATGGGGAAACCGCTTGGCTGCATTCATGGACCCATCCACCTTGGCTTGCAATCAGAGAAGGCTGTTGTTGTTTTAGAATCCAGGAGAAAGCAGAGCACATCTCAGCTAGTAGAAGCTAACCGTTAGCTTTAGCAACTCCACCACACAGCAGAACTCCTTCAGGCTTGTGTTTTTTGTAAAGATAAAACATTGATTTTCATGGGATAGATATGTCTCTCATCAAGGAGGTTATCCATTGCATTATTGAACCTTTTACTTATATTTGTAATAAATCCTTTTCAAGTGGCACAGTCCCTGAACAAATGAAAATAGCCAGAGTTATTCCTATTTATAAAAGTGGTGATAAATTATTAGCTTGTAACTATAGACCTATCTCTTTACCGCCACAGTTTTCAAAGATACTTGAGAAACTTTTTGTAATTAGATTTGAAGCATTTATCTACAAGTTTGATCTTTTAAACGACCATCAGTATGGGTTTAGGAAGAATCGTTCAACCTCATTAGCAGTTATGGATTTAGTAGAGCAGATTGCAACAGCAGTGGATCAAAAACTTCATGTAGTGGCTGTCTTAATTGACTTGAGTAAGGCATTTGATACAACTGATCACACATACCTGCTCAAGAAATGTGAATACTATGGTCTTCGTGGTCTTCCAATCAATGGCTTGAAAGTTATTTAAGCAGTAGATTTCAATATGTAAATGTTAATGATATAGATTCACAGCTTGAAAGAGTAATATGTGGTGTACCGCAAGGCTCGGTGCTAGGACCGAAATTATTCAACCTTTACCTGAACAACATCTTTTCTGTATCGTCTCGGTTAAAATTTATTATGTTTACAGATGATACTAATTTCATTTGTATGGGAAAAGATATGAGTAAATTATTACAAGAGGTTGAAAACGAATTGGGTTCAATAAAAAAAGGTTTGATTACAACAAGCTATCACTAAATGAAAATAAAACCAAATTTATGATATTTTCAGGGAACAGGAACAATGACGGTGCTAAGCTGTATTTAAATGGAGTCCCAATTGAGCAAGTACATGAAACTAAATTCCTAGGTGTGATTATTGATAGTAAACACAGTTGGAAACCACATATTGAATATATCAAACGGCAAGTGTCTAAATCTATTGCTATACTTTATAAAACTAGTGATGTACTAAATAAAAAAGCCTTGTTTTTGATTTATTGCTCTTTAGTTATGCCTTATTTGTCTTACTGTGCAGAGGTTTGGGGAAATGCAGGTAAAACGTGTGTTGAGACTGTATTTAAATTACAAAAAAAGGCGATTAGAATAGTTAATAAATTGGGATACCTCGAACCAACCCATAATCTATTTAGTCAAACTAAAACGCTAAAATTAGGAGATATTATTAAAGTAAAAATCTTAGAGATTCTTCATAAAGTAGTTAATAATAATATCCCAAATTGCATAAAAGTTTATTTCAAACCAAGAGATGATCATAATAATCTCAGAGGTGTATTTATGTTTGAATGTGTAAAAGCCAGAACTAATGTGAAATCAAGATGTGTTTCCGTTGTTGGTGTGAAATTGTGGAATGAGTTAGATGATGATTTGAAGAAATGTACTTCTTTACTAAAGTTTAAAGCTGGTGTAAAGTGTCACATATTTACAGGGTATGAAAAGTATGTATAGACATTAATGAATTTTCATTGTGGTTATTTATATTGGGGAAAATAAAAGAAATGTATATTGGTTATGTATCTTAGGTGGAAAATAGGATAGGCTAAAATAAGCATTGCTTCTGCCTGTTCCTTTTTTGGTTTAAATTCAAGTTGTTAATATTGTTGTTTTGTTTGTAAATAAACATTTTATGTTCATGCTATAAACCAAAATAAAGACCGAAAGAAGAAGAAGAAGAAGAAGAAGAAGAAGAAGAAGAAGAAGAAGAAGAAGATAAAACATCAATATTGCAGTGCGAACGGAGGCAGTGAAAGAGTTGCCTGGCTGTTAGCCAATCAGATACGAGATGCCCAAAAGCATGAGTAAGATTCCAAATCCTGCTGTGTTCGGCTCCCTTTTTCTCCAGCTAACTTCTACTTCCTGAAACAGAAGCGCCAGAGCTTTTTCCCCTAAGAAAACAACTCAAAAGGCTTCATTTATACTAGAGACCACTGCAAATGCATTAAAAAGTGAATGAGAGCTTTAAACCTTAGCTTGTGTGTGTCTGCAGGTATGAAATCATGAACTTCAAGCAAATTGGAGAAGATGAATTCTCTTATATTCACGTGGGAAGCTGGGATCAGGGTGGCTTAAAAATGAACGATGAGGAAATCTGGAGTAACAGCAGTGAAGTGATCCAGTCGGTCTGCTCTACACCCTGCCAAAAGGCCCAGATCAAGGTATCAACAACCACCTGAAAGCATTCCAGGTTTGCATTGTTGTGATAGCACTTCAAAGTGTGCTGATGATCCAACTTAATCGTGTTCTGGCTTTGCATTTATGCTCTATAGACTAAACACTCCTGAGGAAATCTGTCAAGACACATCAGGCTTAAATTGGTCCCTCTGGTTCAGTTTGAATCAAAGCTGTTACCAAATGCACCACCTGAGATTCAGTTCATCTTATTTTTCATGTCTTAATCATCTTCTAACTTACCTGGAGCACATACCTGTCACCGATGTTCTACCTCCTCTTTATCATCCCGGCTTTAACATGAAACCCTTCACAAACATCCCAGACTCTTCAGTCAAATTTCGACTAAGAAGTTCTTTCCTGCTTCTATTACAGTTCTCTTTTTTGCTTTCCGCAGCTGTTTCATCCTGGAGTCTGTCTTGAGGTTTAATCCAAGGGATTCAGATTGCATGGGTCTAATAGTAAAGACGTATTTGGTCATAATTGTCAAAGTGTCAAAGATTGTGTTCAGTCTAGCCACGCTCCACTGTAGCCTCAGCAGGTCTACTATTTGTCTGAACAATCTTAGGTTGGGCCAATCACGGTGCTCCATCAGGTGGACCTAGGACCAGAGAATTCGCTCAGGAACGGCGCTCATTTGAAACAGCTTTGGCATCAACTTTGGATGATTTAGACTTGGTCTTTTCTTTGAGACATGAGCAGATATAAGTCCTGTTTTTTAGAAAAAGGATGTGTGGCAGGGTGGAGAAACGAGGGCCCAGGCAGGAACCAATCCCCAGACTCCCAGGTGGGAGCCATGTGGTCTAACCAGTCAGCCAAAGAGACATCCCCTTGGCCAAGTAGCCAGGGCGCATGATCAATCAGGATACAGTGACAGGATGCTCAAATGGTCACAGTTGTATTTGCTTTTTCATTTTCGACTGCCACATTGTCGTAGCGACGAATACGTTGTGCTCTTCATTGTACTGATCGGCCGTAGTTGTCTTAACAGAGACAATTTGAAAGACATTCATAGATTCCACCTGATGACTGAAATCTGTCTATGGGCCGTGGCCAGACGATATGTTAACATATACAGGATGACTTGACAGGCTAAGTTGTAGAAAGAGTAATTTAAAAAAGTGAACTAATTGACCTTTCATACATTTTGTTCTTCTTTTGATCCCCTGATGAACAAGATCCTAATTTCCCAGCCCAACAGGACAGTCAGAGTGTAAGATTAGCTACAGGAAAGCACCACTGGAGCTTTGAGGCCTTCCTGCCCTTTCATACTGCTGTGTGTGTGTGTGTGCGTGTGCGTGTGTGTGTGTGTGTGTGTGTGTGCGTGCGTGCGTGCATGCGTGTGTGTGTGTTTCTACAGGTGATCCGAAAAGGAGAGGTGAGCTGCTGTTGGACCTGTACGCCCTGTAAGGAGAACGAGTTTGTGTTTGACGAGTACACCTGTCAGGCGTGTGTCCTGGGCTCCTGGCCCACTGACGACCTCAAAGGTAAACAGGCTGTTTACGTGTTGGTTACTCTTTAATTCACACTCTGATCGGGCTTTCACAGATGCTCACTGAAATCATGTCACATATCTTCTTTACAATCTTTTAAAAAATAACACTGGAGCCAGTTTCCATTGAAATCAATAAGTAAAAATTATTGAGTGCAGATTTAGCATAAAACGGGTCGACAGCATGAAAAGCATGTGGTCTGATTAAGTTGCATCTCACATTTACTTCCTCTCAGGGTGTGAACCAATCCCAGTGCAGTATGTTCGATGGGGAGATCCAGAGCCGATTGCTGCTGTAGTCTTCGCTTGTTTGGGTCTCCTGGCGACGCTCTTTGTCACTTCTGTCTTCATCAAGTAATTATAAACAACAATATTCCAAGAACATTTCATCTAAATTTGGATTTGAAATCACTGCATGTCATTTATTAATAGCTCTAATAGGCATTAATCTTCATAAATATACAGGTGCTGGCCAGTAAATTAGAATATCATCAAAAGGTTGAAAATATTTCAGTAATTCCATTCAAAACGTGAAACTTGTACATTATATTCATGCAATGCACACAGACCAATGTATTTCCGATGTTCATTACATTTAAATTTGATATTCATAAGTGACAACTAATGAAAACTCCAAATTTGGTATCTCAAAAAATTAGAATATTCTGAAAAGGCTGAATATAGAAGACACCTGTTGCCACTCTAATCAGCTGATTTACTCAAAACACCTGCAAAGGCCTTTAAAAGGTCCCTCAGTCTTGTTTTGAAGGCACCACAATCATGGGGAAGACTTCTGACTTAACAGCTGTCCAAAAGACAATCATTGACACCTTGCACAAGGAGGGCAAGACACAAAAGGTGCTTGCTAAAGAAGCTGGCTGTTCGCAGAGCTCTGTGTCCAAGCACATTAACAGACAGGCGAAGGGACGGAAAAAATGTGGTAGAAAAAAGTGTACAAGCTCTAGGGATAACCGCACCCTGCAGAGAATTGTGACGACAAACCCATTCAAAAATGTGGGGGAGATCCACAAAGAGTGGACTGCAGCTGGAGTCAGCGCTTCAAGAACCACCACGAGGAGACTCATGAAAGACATGGGATTCAGGTGTCGCATTCCGTGTGTCAAGCCACTCTTGAACAAGAAACAGCGCAAGAAGCGTCTCGCCTGGGCCAAGGACAAAAAGGACTGGACTGATGCTGAGTGGTCCAAAGTTATGTTTTCTGATGAAAGCAAGTTCTGCATTTCCTTTGGAAATCAAGGACCCAGAGTCTGGAGGAAGAGCGGAGAAGCACAGAATCCACGTTGCATGAGGTCCAGTGTAAAGTTTCCACCGTCAGTGATGGTGTGGGGTGCCATGTCATCTGCCGGTGTTGGCCCACTCTGTTTCCTGAGGTCCAGGGTCAATGCAGCCGTCTACCAGGAAGTTTTAGAGCACTTCATGCTTCCTGCTGCTGACCAACTTTATGGGGATGCAGACTTCACCTTTCAACAGGACTTGGCACCTGCACACAGTGCCAAAACCACCAGCACCTGGTTCAAGGACCATGGTATCCCTGTCCTTGATTGGCCAGCAAACTCGCCTGACCTTAACCCCATAGAAAATCTATGGGGTATTGTGAAGCGGAGGATGCAATACGCTAGACCCAACAATGCAGAGGAGCTGAAGACGACTATCAGAGCAACCTGGGCTCTCATAACACCTGAGCAGTGCCACAGACTGATCGAGTCCATGCCACGCCGCATTACTGCAGTTATTGAGGCAAAAGGAGCCCCGACTAAGTATTGAGTGCTATACATGCACATTCTTTTCATGTTCATTCTTTTCAGTTGGCCAACATTAGAGAAACAAATATTTTTTCATTGGCCTTTAGAATATTCTAATTTTCTGAGATACCAGATTTGATGTTTTCATTGGTTGTCACCTATAAATATCAAAATTAAACGTAATAAACATCGGAAATACATTGGTCTGTGTGCATTGCATGAATATAATGTACAAGTTTCACGTTTTGAATGGAATTACTGAAATATTTTCAACCTTTTGATGATATTCTAATTTACTGGCCAGCACCTGTAATGATATGTTGCTATAATAAGCATTTTTCTGTTCTTGACGTGCAGATTTTGGGACACTCCTGTGGTTAAGTCATCCAGTCGGGAGCTCTGCTACATCATTTTAGCTGGAATATGTTTTGGCTACCTGTGCACTTTCAGCCTCATCGCCAAACCACACATCATCTACTGCTACTTGCAGCGGCTGGGAATCGGTCTGTCCCCGGCTATGAGCTACTCCGCTCTTGTCACTAAGGTACTCCCTTCTCTGTTCAGTTAGGAGGAAGTAGAGAAACACAAACATAGATTTAAATACGACTATTGGTACCTTTAATTTTTAACTCCCTATGTACTCTGTGAACTGTGATTTATTTGTCCTATTTAAAATAAAAAATCTAGATCTAAGTCTTAAGGATACCTTAGTTTTGGGAAATAGAAATTAAACCTGAGAGCTTATGCCGAATTAAACTGGAGCCAGTCAGAAAGTGGATTTTTGTCTTAAAACAACTCTAATCTCAAAAAATTCATGAAAATGCATTTTAAAAACTCTTTACGTTGCAATCATTTTAATCTTACACGTGGTATTTCAGCAACACAGACCAAAGTATTTTGCTAACCCTGGCTTTCCATTGGAATGCATAAACGTTGCGTAAAGTCTTTGCAGCGTAATACGCATCTAAAAGCGAAATGGCACACCTTGCAGGCATCCCAGAGTGTAGCGTTGCGTCACTCTGCTAAATTCACACTTCAGATCGATTTTTTTACGCGCTACGCTTCCTGGGCACGTCCAGCTCAGATGTTCTGCCATCTTTGTCTTTGCATATCAACGTGGGACTTGCCAAAATCCCACGTGATTTTGAGACTCTGCTGGACCAGCGGCAGGGAAATCTGGATAAAATGTTGACCCAAAGTTCAAATTTAGCAGAGCTATGTGTAGGAATAGCATACGTATGTATTTTGAGTGCTTTTAAAGCTCAATATGCTACACTACATTTCACCAATAAGATATGAATTTCTATATAAATATGGAAATCCAGTCTGATTGATCTTTGAATGTTTAACCAGGAGATTTTGAATTCTTTGCTTATTCAGGGAATGTAAGACACTTTGTATCAATTCAGACAGAGTCACGTTCATAAAAAGTAAGAAATTTATTTTCTAAACAATTAAAAAACGTGACAACTAGGAAACACTTTGTGTGATGAATGAATCTAAGTGGATGGAATGTGAGGTGTGATGATGTGTGAATATGATGTTATCAGAACCCTCGTACCTGAAGAAATTGAGTTCTGAGTGGGAGGGAATTTGGTCTGCTATAAACTATAGTGACGGTTTATAAAACCACATCAATCTGTCGAGTCTACGTACCCTTCGAAGACCCCCGTGGTAGATCTGGAATGTCAGGAAGTCTGTGGACCCCCAAAGGTATCAAAGTCTGTAGAAGAAACCGCAGCACCACTAGACCGGTCTCGAGATGTCTCCAGGTCAAGACAGGTAGTTATTTGCGTCCATGGAGTAACTCTTAAGGAGTCAATGCTGGCTCAGCTTTGTTCTGAAAGAACCGTTTGCGGTATCAGCTGTAGCATGCAACAGGTTTTGACAGCTTGTCAAAAGATGCGCTGGGTTAAAGAGGTTTTGCTTCGGATGGCCGGTCCGAAGCTTTCTCAAAAACTGCCTCACTCAGGAAGTGAGTTCTGTTTTAACAATGGCCATATTCTGACTACATGGCCAACCAGAATTTGACATGTAAAGGGGTTTTACCAAACAAACCTCAGGACATCAGATAGAAGAGCTGGGATTTGTGGGTCAGGAAGTCTTTATGTGCAGTGACGTTTAACTTTAACTTGCATCATGGAGATATGGTGAGTGTGTGTGAGCTTGTCAGTAGATAGTGATTCACTTGTTAAATCAGTTTACTGATCATAGCATAATATTCATCTCAACTTCAGTAATTTAAGCACAGATTAATCACAACATTGTTATTATTCTTCAGCCATTATTAATCATTCATTATATAATTATTTTAACACTCCATTATGCATAACGGTTCATTATTATAAAAGTTCCTTCTGCTTGTTCTGCGAAACAAAGCAGTCTGAGATAAGCGGAAAGCTTGAGAGGGACCTTGGCCAAGCAACAGTATCTTTCTTGCAGATTAAAAGCACCAGTTAAGACTTATGTCTCCAAATGGCCAGATACTGAGGAGGTCAGACTGTAGGTGGAAAACTGACCATTCCTGGAGGCTACATATGCTACACTACATTTGTGGAATACATCCAAGGTGTGCTGCTTCGTGGCAGGAGAAAACCCATCCATCGACTGTAACCGGCTTTTAGCTGCTTCATTGATTTTATGCAGTCTTTCGCATCCAGTGGAAAGCCAGACATCCAGTTTGTCAGATTTGCCTTAATAATACAAATAACCATTGATGGTTAAATATACCATTTGCAATAATCCTTGTAATCTTTTGGAGATTAGAGTTTTTTAGGACTGCATTAATCCACTTTGGAACCAACGGTTAGCTCATCAGTTCGATCTGCTTTTTTCCAAACTTAATTCATTCGCTAGCCATCAAGACATAAATTGTTCAAATTACGAACTTTTCAACTGTTAAAAAATATTGTTTGGTGTCTGGCGTCTACATTTTGTAAGTGATATCATGGTTTCATGGAAGAACCAACTAAGTTTAAAAGGGCCTAGAGACTGAACAGTCGGCAGAAGCTGAATATGTCTGTGTAGGCTGAGGTTGATGTTTAAGATCAGGGATTATCGCCTTGAACAAGTGAGAGGGGCTTTACCACCCGCCGATGTAACTATTTGATCTATTTTTGATCCAGACCAACCGTATAGCGCGGATCTTGGCAGGCAGCAAGAAGAAGATATGTACTAAGAAACCTCGCTTTATGTCCGCCTGCGCACAGTTGGTCATCGCCTTCCTTCTCATTCTCCTTCAGCTGGGAATTATCGTGGCACTGCTCATCATAGAGCCACCGGATGTAAGTGTGTGTATGTGTGTGCGTTGTGTTGTGCTACAATATGGTGGATTCATTAATATATACTCAAACAGTAAAAGCTTTCTATTTTGTCCTTTTAGGTGATCCATGATTACCCCAGCATCCGTGAAGTGCATTTAATCTGTAATCTGACCACATTGGGGGTGGTGGCACCGCTGGGATACAACGGCCTGCTTATTCTCAGCTGCACCTTTTATGCCTTTAAGGTATTCAGCAAAGCGTTAGCAAACTCAAGACTATCCTTGTAGTTCAAATGGTTTACACATCGTTTTTTTTTCTTCCACAGACTCGTAACGTCCCAGCTAATTTTAACGAAGCCAAGTACATTGCCTTTACCATGTACACCACCTGTATAATCTGGCTGGCATTCGTTCCCATCTACTTCGGTTCAAACTACAAGATCATAACCATGTGTTTTAGCGTCAGCCTCAGCGCCACGGTGGCTCTCTGCTGCATGTTTGTCCCCAAGGTGAGAAACAACAGAGCAGTAAAAATCGTGTCCTCACTCATGATCAGATTTGTCTCATGTTAGAATTTTCTCCCGTTTTAAAATTTTGCAGGTATACATAATGCTTGTCAAGCCTGAGAAAAACGTGCGCAGTGCTTTCACCACTTCCACAGTTGTGCGCATGCATGTGGGCGATGCCAAGAAAGCTGCCAAGACTGGAAAATCTTCAAGCAGCATGGCCAACTTGTTTCGACGGAATGGCTCTGCACAGGACAACATCAGGTAAACGTTTACAAAACCCCTTTTAAAGGAGGAATAGAAAAGCAAATGACGTTGTGTCACCAGTCGTTTGTGGACTATATTTGTGCCTGTTCTACTATCATTTTTAAGGATTTTTATTTATGTATGTTTTCACCACACTTTGAGAAATAGAAATGCTAATAGTGACAGTGGAAAAATTGGAATCTGGTGCAAAGTCCATTTATTTTCGTAATTCATCTAGACAGGGAGACATCTTAAAGCCTCGGGAACTCTTTGCAGATGTTTTCTATTTGCAATTATACATTTGAGTTGATTTGGGTCTTGTTTCATATCACAAAGGGATATTTGAATAACTAAACTGCATTTATTTTAGAAATTAAAAGAACTTGAGTTTAGAGTAATAATAACCATGTCTAATGTTTGATTCTCTGCCTCATTATTTTTAATTTAAAAAATTGCTTTGAGGGTACATTTTTCTGAACGATTAAAATGTGATTAATTAAGATTAATTAATTACAAAGCCTCTAATCAATTAGATTTTTTTTAATCCTACCCCAACTAAAAATATCTCTACTTTTTTTCAATGAGCAAAAACTCAATATTACAGAGAAAATTCATTTATCACTCATAAACTTACTGTGCATGACTCGTCTTCACTTGTCATCTAGAATCTTCTGGTCCGAAACACGCAACAGTTACTCAAAGTGAACTTGTATGTTTTGATATATGGACTGCAGTACCCGCATTTGACCACAGGATGTCCTTCTTACTTCATGCACCTTTAAAAATACCTACAAATGAGGACTTTCAATTAGCAATTTGTATTTTAAACTAATTAAAACGCTGTTTAGTGTTGTCAAGACCTTAGAAACATTTTATTTTAATCTGGCGGCATGATGGGAATGTTGGGTGGTGCTGTAGCCACACAGCAGGAAGTTCCTAGGTTTGAAGAGCATCTCGGCTTTTTTTGGTTTTGGATTCCCTCTTTTTTAGCTTGTAGTTTTTTCCCTCAGCCCATTAAACATGAATGTTGAGTACATTTTTATTGACTTTGAATATAAATGTGTGTGAGAATGGCTGTGTGTCTTTTAATGGTCCTGTGGCGACCTGATGTATCCCACCTCTTGCCAAATTACCAGTGAATTGGACCAAGTGTGAAGGTATGTGAATGATTTTGTTGCAGAGTGCAGAAATGTAACATTTCATTAAGAAGAGGCTAAATGGAGGCATGTTACGTTTGTGTGTGGCTGTAATAAAGAGCTGAAACGACCACAACAGGTTGAATATGGAGCTAAGAAAAACTGCTCCCGGAGCTGAGAAAAGCCAACCTCATTTGGGTTACGTACTCCCAGAGGAAACGTTCGGCCTTGGAGGATTTCTCTTTCTAAGGAAGATAAAAGAGCATAAAAGGAGACTTAATAATACACAGGAAAACAACTAGAATGAGAGCAGCAGAAATTTACAAGAGGAAACACTCGTGCTTCTTTTGTCAGAGTTAATCTGGTGTAAAAGCGATCTAAAATATGTTTTATTGTCAACAAATCTGCTTTGTTTGTTGACGTTTTTGCAGTTCCAATGGGAAATCATGGGGACAGAATGAACGCAGCCACAGGCCAAACCTGTGGAAGAGGATGTCGTTCCACGTGAAGAAGAAAGACCCAGTGGAGGTGAATCAGACAGCCATCATCAAGCCTTTCTCTAAAGGAGGAGACACATCTGAGGACAATGTCCAAGAGCTGTATGAAGAGCCTCAAACATCCCAGTCTTTCACCTGTTCACCCTCCCAGTCGCCTCTGCCCACCATCAGCTTAAACGCAGCAAAAGGTCTCAAGATGGATGAAGATGGGGAGGAGGAACAAGTGCTACCCACGTACCCGCCTGAGCACCTTTCTGGGGTCAGACGAAGAGGTGGAGACAACAACCAGGTTTCTGCTGTGATGGACAGTGGGGACATTAGCATCATCAGCGTGGGGGACATTGGCCAAACTCAGGGGATCACCATCATGGACCAGATCAGCAGCGTGGTCAATCGTTTTACCGCTAACATCAGCGAGCTGAACACCATGATGCTGCCAGGTGGAGCCATCGTCAGCGTACCGTCCACCACCGCTCCACCTGCTGCGGACACCTCCCTGTGCTCGCCTCAATACCTCAGCAGACAGGCCCCCTCCGTGGTCACCACATACGCCGAGGTGACCGCCGTCTCCAACTTCTGCGACAATCGACCGGCAGCTAAGATTTACGAGCACCTGGCTGGGACTTGCGCGAGCGGTAGACGAGCCAAAGATGCGGAGGAGCTGATGGCTCTGACCCCTCCCTCTCCGTTCAGAGACTCATCACTTAGCTCCGACTGCAGCTCCCCCCCTTCCCTGTCCCCAACGTCGGAGGCTGGATATGACCATCTGCTGCTGAGACACTACAGCCAGAGCTCCTCCTCCCTTTAAATCTGCTCTGTGCCATTCAGCTGGAGTTCCTTAAAACAAACCTTTAGGCTGGACCAAATGTTTTGATGCCTTTTTGCATGCAGATATTATAGCTGTTGAAAGTCTTTTTGTAAAAACATTCTGGGAGGACTGAGACGAGAGGATTTGGTAAAAAGTGGCTAAATAAAAAAGGGATTGAGAAGCTAAGCTTTGCTTTTTAAAATTATTATTAAGTAAACATTGAAACACAGTTGAGGGCATTTTGTGGAGATGTTCTGATGTTTCAAAACTCAATATTAAAAATCCAAAGAAAACTTCTTCAGACCATTTTATTTAGAGACACATTTTAGGTGAACTCTTCTTTCTGTTTTGTCAAGATAAATCTCAGATATAATACAGAATGTACAACACGTTTGTGTATTTTATTTCAGCATTTATAGAAACCATTGTTTGTTTTTACTGCTTGCTGTCAACTTTTTATGATGTGATGCTTCATTTTTTACGACCATTTTTTTAACATTAATTTGTTGGCAACACTTATCGATTTAGGAGAGTGTCTGCATATACTCACAGTCAAGGAACAAGGAACATAACTGTAAATTTTAAACAAGCTCTTTAAATCTCTATGGAATGTAAACATTGTTTCACTGCATAAGGTTTATAACCCGCAAAAAGCTTAAAGGGGACATATTATGCAAAACTCACCTTTTGCATTCTTTTATGCTGCCGTGTGGGTCTCTGCTGCTATAAACACTCATAATGAGGAAAAAAAATCCCTTCATCTGTTTTCTGTCAGTCTTTGGTTTTAGGGATTATTTCCCTAAAACAAGCGATTTCAAAAATACCCCTTTTGTGATGTCACAAAAAATGAAATTATAAAAGAACCACCTCTCACATGCAAGAGAGAACTGCTGCTGGACAAGCAGTGGCTCTAGTCTGAGCCCCTCCCAGAAATAGGAACTTCTCAGCTTATAGTGGTGGGTGAGTGGGGGAAGAGAAGACATTTTAAGAAAGACTCCATCATGAGGAGCAGATGCCAACCAGCCACCACCTTGTTTATGAATCTGTGTGTTATCTGGAATGAGTACACGCAATTTTTAGGGGGGGAACTGCCTTTTATTTTGAAACCCAGTTTTCTCTTGTTTTATCTTAGTTAGGGAAGTACGTTTACTGTTTTTTGTTTATTTATTTTTTATAGGTAAGTGAATATTGAGACAGTGGTGTTTCGTTTATTTGTTTAGGCATTAAGTTCACCTTGACTTATAATCCTCCCTCATTCTTTGTTTAATCCTTTAGAAATTGTAAACATTGTAAATAAAATCATTGAAATAAAAAAACAAAGGTATGGTTGCTTGGGATCTGCCGAAAAAGCCATAACATCTTCATGTTATGGCTTGGCCCCTCCTAGATGGGTCGTAACATGAATTGGGGGCTTGTCCGTCATAATCTGTTGGGCCATTTAGAGGAGATTGAACCTGGAGTTTGAAAGTTTTGAGTACTGTGTCTTTGTATCATTTCCTGTAGCTAACTTTTTAGCAGATTTGGTGTGTGGCTTGAGATGAACACCATCTTGCTCTTCTCTGGTTAGCTTTGGGTTCTAGAGACTTGCTGCTAGTTGGTGCGGGCTTGTCATGGTCCACCAGCAGTAACACAAGAATAAAACTGCAGAAAATACTTCATGTGAGAGGGATTAAATACAAACTATTTCATGAACATATTTTGTATCAACATACAACTATTATACCTTAAGAAAAAAAAGTCATAATACATCCCCTTTAAAGACTATTTGGACACTATCTTTATTTTTTTAAATCTAACTTGGCTGATTGTATTGAGTTAAGGACCAAAACATTAATCCATCTCAGGATGAAGCAAAATGCTTACTGACTTTGTCGTGTGTCGGCACTAAACGTTTCCACTTTGCATGATGTGTTTGCACTCAGATTTTTTTTTAAACTACACAAACTTGTATAAATAACAGATACGGTAGCAGTTACATCAGTAGTAAGTTGGTGTGTGTTCTAGGATTAGTTTTAAGAGGAAAGAGTTTACCAGATATCTCCAGTCACTCTTTTTATTTTTAGAGGGATACTCTACCCCTAAGTGTTTAGTCTGCTGGCATATTACCCAGAGTTAATTTTAAATACATGGTAACAACTAGCATTTTGTGCGAAAAAGTCATGAAATTACTCAATGATGATGCTAACTTTTCTGCATTTACCTCATAAATATATATTGAATGCAAATGTAAATAATAAGTGACATAGAGGAATTACAGGAGCCGATTTAGACTTGGGACTACATTACTACAAAGCAGGTAAAGGTCTAGTAGCCACACATTTGCATTTGAGGAAGGACGTTTTTTTTTATTTGAATGATTGAAATGCTAGCTGTTACCATTCACTTCATTGTTTATGCTAAGCTAAAGCTAACAGAACATTGCCAGATTAGAAGAATGACTGGGCTAGTTACAAAATGCTTTTTCGAACTCATCCAACTCAGGAATATGGTAACAGAATGAACTTCACTTAGCAGTTGAATATCCCTTTAAATGTGTGCCTGTGTCTCCCTGCAGTGGGTTACATCCATTATTATTTTTTAATCACATTAAGAATCCAACTGTCAGCTGTTCTGACAGCTTTCAGATTTTAAAGCTTATTCTTATTTAACTTTTATTTCATTTTATTATTTTGAATTTAGCTTTAGTTTCTGTTTTCTCTTATGTTTACATAAGCATGTTTACACTCAGGATTTTTTTTTTAGATTTATAATGTAAACTCTTTCTATAATTGCATATATTTGTTCACATTTGTAGACTATTTTTTTGCTGTGTGCTTTCTGATCTAAACTAAAGAAAACTTATTTGGTGTGTTCTTACTGTGTTTAGCTTCTAATTCCATTTTTGGTTCTTTTTAAAACACTGGAAAGGTTTTTCTTTACCTTCCTGACGTACGTTTCGTTTGCCGTTTTGCGGTCGGCAAGCGAAACGTACGTCAGCAAGGTAAAGAAAAACCTTTCCTGTGTTTAAAAAAAAAACAAAAATGGAATTAAAGAAAGCTTCATTTATCTTATGATTTGTCTTTCCAAAAAATCAGAAAATATAATCTTGTGCTGCATTAAAGGAAATCAACATTCAAAAATGTACTAGACGTACTATTTTAGTTAGAACTGGAGCAATATGGACATGTAGATAATGTGATCATACTTTCCTTATTTTGTAGTTTAAATGAAATAGCTCTTAGAAAATCAGCAGCATCTATCACATTCAGATGCTAACATTACTAATACAGGTTTGAATGTAAAATTGTCAGGTATATATCATGCTTCAATGAGTTGTGTTCCTTTTGAATATTAAGTGAAGTAAAAGCAGTGCTATTTTTATCAATTTCCACGTAACTCTGTTTTTTTTAATAAAAGCTGAAAGTGTCAAATAATTTGTAAAAACCAAGAAAAAAAAGTTTCTAGCGCACTATATTAATGTTGAAAAACATGTTCTGTGTAATAAAACATTTATTTAAATGCAGAAACCTTAAATTTCCAGTTTTTGCCCAAAATAATAAATAAATAAAAAAAGATGAAAGACAATGTGACTCAATGAAGCTCTGATTGTAGTCGAACACACTGGGAGATAAAAGACAACAAATATTTTGAAGATTGCGTTTTGTAAGAAAAATAATGTTTTAGGAACTAATAAGTGTTTGAAAAAATCTGGAAAGAGTATTACCCCAGTTTCACACTGCAAGCATCAGTGGAACGGAAACAGAGGCGGAGCGGCTCACTTGCAAACTTCAAAGCGGTCCTTTTCACACTGGGAGTCTTGGCCGCGGCACGGCTTCCTCTCTGCACCTCGCTGTACTCGCGAGATTCTAAAATCCCTCGAGACTTCCGACACCTTCCTTGCGAGACAACGTTCCCTCGAGATTTCCGCCATCCTTCCTCATCGAGAGATCACAACCCCCACGAGGAATCACACCGTTGCACTTCTTGAAAGAAACTGGTGGTAAACAAAGCCGTTCGGTCACACGTGCTGACGTAAGTTATATATAACATCGCAACGTTGCATTTTATTTTGAAAACAACCGGGGATTTTACACTGAAACTGTGTGTGGTTTCCTGTCTCGCATTATGTGAACTGCGGAAATTGACGTGTCCCAGAAGCGGCTACTGGAAAAAATAGAACTCGATCCTATCTTTAGCGGTGCAGCGCGGCATGCTGCTTCTGGGATGCGCCTGAAAATTGCCGTGTCGCAGCTGGTTTGAAACACTCCATAGACAATAATTGGATTCTATTTGAAGCGGCGCCGCTTTGCTGCCATTCCGTTCAGCTGTCGCTTGCAGTGTGAAACCGGGGTTAGCGAGCATCTTGTGGTAAGATCTCAAAAAATTGTCTTCTAATAAATTAGAATTTTAATATATTTTTCAGGGGCTTGCCATTTTAAAAATTATAGAAACATATATTGTTTTGTGGATGCTTTAATTCAGATGGCAGCAGGCAAATTAAACTGTTCTAAAATGCTGAAACAATAAATTCATAAACATCAGGCTAATTCAAAACTACTGCTTGAGTTTTTTTTTTTCTTAAATGTGTTTCTTAAGTTTGAGATATGACTGTACAGGAGCTGTGGATCAGTGGTTTAGTCCGTGCATTGAACAGCCACTGAACTCTCCCCCAATTTCCCCAAGTACCAATTTGGTGTGTTGTGTGCCACCCCAAAATTAAACTCCCCCCCCCCCCCCCCCCCATAATTTTTTTCTAGGCGCGGCACTGCAGATTACAATAGAAGTTTTGTGAGTTTGTGTGTTCTCAGCTGATTGTCTATAAATGCCAACCAGGCAAGCACCCTGATAAAATCCAGGAAGTTTCCCAGAACTTATCGAAGTCACAAGTCTCCCGGAACCCGGGTCCGGTCCGGTCCTGCCCCTGAGCGGTCTCGCGCTCCAGAAACAGAGGGCGGATCCTCTGCTCGCCAAAAACGGACACACACGGGGTCTCAGGATCTCAGAACGCTCTCTTATCGAGGAATAAAAAGTTCCTGGAAGCCGTAAGAGACACCGACAGGTGGGATGACCCACGCGCCTTACTCCAACGGCATGCAGGGAATCCGGAAGGAGCACCTGTACAAGGTGCTGGTCATCGGAGACCTGGGGGTCGGGAAAACCTCCATCATCCGGCGCTACGTCCACCAGACCTACTCCTCCAACTACAGAGCCACGATCGGAGTGGACTTCGCCCTGAAAGTCCTTAACTGGGACTCCGAGACCGTCCGGCTCCAGCTGTGGGACATAGCAGGTGAGCATGTGAGGATGATTCATTTAAACTCTGCTTTTCTGTAGGGAACTGATAAAAACTCACATATTTTTATGGATTCAATATAGAAAAAGCGTTCAAATGTGCAAGAAATCGAGCGCTTATTGATCTGAAACAGAAAAGTTTGATGTATGACTCAAAATTCAAATGTGCACTGTCACTGCAGCCTTCCTCTCTTCTTCCCCCCACACACACACACACACACGTTTCCCAGTCAGTTTTCCAAGGTATGATGTTTCATCATGTGATCCCAAACCATGTGAGGGAGATTTAAAGGTCAGTCACAGGAATTTCATTGTAGACCAAATTAAAATAAATAAATTCCACTGAATCACTCTCACGCAGAATAAACAATTAAATTTGGTTTTAAATATAATGTATAGAATACATATTACATGCACGTGTCTTTTTAAACAACTTTAACATGACTCGAATGTCACAGCTGCTTCCCTGTTTAAAATCATGCATGAAAATAGGAAGAAAACGCCAAAAGTCATGTTTCCTCTTGTTTTTGACGCAGACTCATGCCGCTCATTCTGTGATATTTCTTAATTCTGCAGCGTGAATGTGTGCAAAGACCTGTGATGCTCAGCAGATAGGAAGTGCGCCAACAGTCATTTCATTTGTAGACCAATGACGACTCACATTACACAGCAGAACACACACCCAGAGGGAACGTTCCAGTGACAGCTAGTTTTCATTTTCTGTGCATGGCACAAATTTAGAGCTGCACACATATGCACTTGCTGAGACTTTTTGTATTTAATGAGCTTAAAGTCTTTAAAAATGTTTACGATATTCCATAGTGACTTGTTTTAATTCAAATGAGTTCAATATGAGCACAAACAAGTTGTTGTCTTGAGTTCAGCGTGACAGGGAGAACTCTGGAATGTGTCGATTCACGGAATTACTGGCACAGCTAACTGCTGACTTCATGACAGCTGCGTCAGGTGCTTTTCTGCACAAAAAGAAAAAAAAAAAGCAGCGAAACAATGAAAATGTCTCAGTAGACTGGTGAATGGGTATGTTCTCATAAGGGTCATTGTGTGTGTGCTTACTCGTCACAGGTCAGGAGCGCTTTGGGAACATGACCAGGGTGTATTACCGTGAGGCCATGGGAGCTTTCATCGTGTTCGACGTGACGCGACCTACGACCTTCGAGGCCGTCATTAAGTGGAAAGAAGACCTGGATTCAAAGGTGATGCTGGCCAATGGACATAGCATTGCAACTGTGCTGCTGGCTAACAAGTGCGACCAGGGCAGGGAGTTGACCAACAATGGCATCAAGATGGACCAGTTCTGCAAGGACCATGGCTTTGTTGGCTGGTTTGAGAGCTCAGCTAAGGTAAGATCTGGAGCACTGGTGTGCGTGGACCTGAGGCAGCAGGTAATTTGTTAAAAAGCCCACTCAGTGCTGGGTTTTGACAATATACATCACTTAAAGAGACGATGTGTGATTTTTTACCATTAATCTTTGAAAATATCCGTAGAAACATTGAAAATGAATAAAATAATGTCAAGTTTTTGAAAAATTTTGGTAGCTTTGTACAATATAACCATAGAAAACGGGTCTAAAGTACATAGTGTGCGGGTCGTGCGTCTTTGGGGGACGTTATATTAGATGCTGTTTCCTTCTCCGAGTCCCAGCTCAGGGTCCTGCGCCTGTCCGTGATGTCGCACTAGATGATTGGCTGAATGTGCAACTTACCACGTTCGAAAACATTTAAGCAGTAAGAAACACAAATTTAATAACAAAACTGCTAAACTCTTTCCAAAACATATATGAAAGAACAGAATCAAAAAAGAGATGCAAAATATTTTGGCTGAATGGTATTGTCATAGTATGATGACGTTATCGGCAGGCGCAGGACCCTGAGCAGATCTGTAAACGACAGCGCCAGAACACTACAATCGGCATTTCATTCTCTCAATGGAATTAACTGAAGGACCATCAAAGTTTGAGAAGTCACTCCAAGGTTTCATGCTTTCTGCTCCACAGGTAACAGTTACCGTAATGTTTTTTTTAAACAAGAAACAGTCACGGCAATATGGTGTAAAACTACCCTCAAATGTATGTATGTATTGTAGGGATGAGCGAGTACACCACTATCTGTATCTGTATCTGTTCAACCATCTAAATGATCTGTATCCGTATCTGTACTCGGAGTGGGCGTGGCCTAACCCGGAAGTGGGTGTAGTTTAACCAATACGTTATTTTAAGTCTGATCAGAAGTTGTTATGTGTATTGTTTATTTGAAAACTATTTACAGAGCAGCCTCAGAGTTGAGATTAAATGTTTTTGATCACAATAGTAAAGGAACTATTAGAGAACAAGTTTTTCAATAAAATCGGTACATTAATATTTAAGTGCATGAATTAAGAGAGAGAGAGAGAAGAAAAGATCTTTTCGATAGCGCCTCTCAAGATAAAAATCACGGGGCGCTTCACAAAAACAAAACATGTAAAATAGAAAAAAGAATTTAGAAAATGATTAAAATATATTTAAAATGAGCAAAATTAGACAATTGTGATTAAAAATGTAAAGAAAGAGAGAGAGAGTGAATAGGAAAGAGGGAGTGGATCCTGAGGAAGAGGAGAGAGATAGAGAGAGGAAAAATAAACCCGACCGGAGCAGTGGCGCCATTTTCAGCTCTGTCTTGTCAAATGCACCACGTACGTTACGAAAAAAGTAACTTTAAATATCTTTAAAGTAACTTTAATAAGAGGCGAAGAAAACCTAGGGAGTACTGAAGAAACGTGAGTAACAGTGAAGCAAGCACAGAGAGATCCGTTACTGTCTGTGTGTGTGCTTGGATGGACTGGACGTGGACTGAGCTCCCGGCTAGAGAGTTTTGTGTGTAGGGAGGGGCGGGCGCTCAATGTGACTGGCCAATCACAGAGAGTGAAGACAGTCAGTTACCCAATGAGGATTTTCCTTCAGCACGATTACAGATATTTATGAGTTTTACTTGTTTCATGCTCGTACTCGTCAAAAATGCTTTATCCGTACCGGATACTTGTCTGAAACGAGTATCCGGCTCATCCTTAATGTACTGCCCCCTAGCGCCAATAAACTACACACTGCCACTTGAAAGGTGCAGTATGTAAGAATGAAGTTGGAATGACATCATTTGATTGAATTTAGTTACTGCAATCAATTTTCCTGAGCAAAAGGTTACTTTCTCACTGGTGTTCTGCGAGTTTTATGGCTGATGCCAGTTACATATCAGCACCAGAAGATTCTAGATGACCAGAAAAGACAAGTCATACGCAGTAAGTTCATAAGTTTAAATACATTGTCATTTCTGCCTTAGTTGGTCTTATTGTTGGTTTCTATAGTTATGTTAGCTTAAATTCATAAATATGGCAACTATACAGTTCAAACACAGTTCCCAAAACATTAACTCATTCGCTGCCAGCGTTTTTCACCAAGTCACAGAACGTTGCGCGCTTGGGTGTTTTTCAATAGGGAGCACTTACTACACTTATTACGGTAGTATTTTTCCAGCATAGGGAGCCTAAGTCTCCTCCCCTTCCGGTCGGCTCATGGGACCCCGGAATAACGAAAAAATGAATGCAAGTCAACGGGGCTAAAAACGCTATTTTCTAATCCGCTTTGCCTTAGGCCCTGGGTCGCACATATGTTGTACTGCAATTTAAATGAAAACTAATGGTGGGTGTTTCAACCACGACTGTCACGTACTTTGAGATTTATCCGCTTGTAAAAGTTCGCAATTGGCATTAGTAGACACCAGAAATCTGCACGTCGCAAATGTGACGTCACCACATAATCTCCTCTCCTGACGTCACCTCATAATCTCCTCTCCCCTAGCGTAGCTGCTACTCACCAAATTACCAGATTTATGGTAGCTCTTTCCTCCTGTGGGAAGTTTGCTGAACTTTCAGCCATTTTCCCTCAGTTTTCTCCGTGTCTGGTTTGATGACGTCACTTTCGTGAAGCGCATTTGTAGTCCTGGAATTATTTTCACACAAAACCTAAAATTGCATTTCACCCTGTTCGAAAATAAGCTTACCTTACTTAAGTAGAAATTTTGGTTATTTACACTTTACTGGAGTAATAATTTTTTAGCCTACTTTATACTTCTACTCCCTTACATTTTCACACAATTATCACTACTTTCTACTCCTTACTTTTAAAAAATAACCTCGTTACTCCCACTTCATTTCGGCTAGTTGTCGGTGAAAAACAAATTTAGATTGTGGTTGGATGAGACCTACCATTCCGACATGCTATTGGTCAGCGCAACTGCACGTGACACAAATCATGTGACACTCCAGGATGTAAGACCATTAGCAAATGTATGTTGTAGCAGTAGCATTGGGCGGAGAGGCAACAGAACTTGCTAACAAGATGTCTGAACCAAGTACCCATGAGGACGGCGCTGATAGCCTGGAAGACAAGCCAACCCCTGTACATCCCTGGCCATACCTGGAAGCATTTTTTGAAATGGTTGGATGCAAAAACAACTCATTTCGAATGCGCTGCAAGCTCTGTGCACCCAAGTACCACGAGCTGATGGCTTTCAAAAACTCACCGTCTAACTTGAAAAAGCATATTGAGGTAAGCTAAAAGTTTCATATTATCACTCGATTATTGATAAAATATTGTATGAACCTAGTAACATAATAATGGTAAATTTTCAATGTTTGCCATGCTATGCCTGGGTACATGCTATGGCTTGCTTACTAGCAGTAAGCTATGATTTAATGTTGCAAGTTCATTTGATTGGCTTTGTTTGACATTTTAAATTAGACTCTAGTCAAACGTTATCTGAGCTTATATTGTTGCTATATGCAATACTTCGATGTTATTTTAAATTGTGCAAATCTATAGTCTACATCTGTTTGATAAAGCATGTACTAAATATAGGCATGATCCTGTCTGTGTATGAGAGTGTGCGCTCAGGCCCTAAGTGTCTTTGTTAAGATGTTATCAGCCAAATTCAGTTAAATTAAAGTCATGTGGGGGACCACAAAGAGTCTACACTCACACCCAGGTTCTTTTGACTGTTTGAATTTAAATGTTGTTGACGCCTTGCTGCTGCCTACTCCAAGCAGGGAGCTCACCGTTTGTACGTAAATGAGTTAACGCTTTGCAACTGAAACGCAACAGCCGACTCGGAGCAGAGGTCTTAAGCTGGGCGTACACTGTGCGACTTTTTCACTCGCAGCGTTCAGCTTCAGCTCAAACTGTACGACTTCCTCGCAGGGCAGATCTCACGAGTCATGTGCTCACACTGCACGACCCAGTTCTCGCATGCGACCTGACTGCTCACACTGTACGTCTGGTAGCAACACGTCAGCCCTAAAAATATGCTAAAAAGAGCAGTTTTTACACAACACGTCAGACTTTTTTGTCTTGTCTTGCCTGTTGTCCTTCGAGAGTGCTGCAGGAGGACACACAGGGATTTATGGGGGTTGGATGAGTAAAACGAAATAAAGAAAGTAAATCTGTGTTTTGTGATCAGTTTAATTTGACATGAACACGACAAACACGCTTTCTTGACAATCTTTGAGTAAAAAAAACGTGTAGAAACAAAACGAACAGCGTGTGTTATTAGGGAAATAGCGAGCGAGCGGCGTTGATGCAAGATTGCGCATGCGCCGTGAGCAGTTCTGATACTTTTTGGGTCGCAGTTGCTCGCAGCGCCGCTTCAACAGTGCGATACCCTCACGAGGGACGAGCGAAATTTTAAACACGCCGGAAGTCCGTGCGACCTCACGACTGCTGATCGGCAGCTGGTCACGTGGTGTTAATCGCCTCTCGTAACCCCCTGTACACTACACGACCGCTCGGCGCAAAACTCGCCCCGATGTCGTGGATTCTCGCACGACTGGAAAATCGGCTCAAAAAAGTGAAAAAGTCACACAGTGTACGCCCGGCTTTAGAGTTGGAGAACTAAAGATTTGAATGAAACCTATCTTTGTGTAAACCCAGTGGCGGTTTTACCAATAGGCATAGGTCGGCGGCCTCCTGGGGCCCCCTTGTGTTGGGGGGCCCCCTAGCCCTGACCGCCGGCACCCCTCTGTTAATGCCACAATATTCTTATGTTTATGTTAATTCATTTAGCAGACGCTTTTCTCCAAAGCGACTTACAATTTATAACCTATAGGGCATGTTGTGATCTGTGGGGGAAATCAGAGTACCCGCACGCATGCACACACACATTATCCAGTACACAATTATAATACCGTCATATAATCTAAATAGTCCTGATTTTTGTTTTTTATTCTACAGGCCTTGACTATATCAGAAGCCACTTGGATTGCCAGGTCAAGAATTATGTCAGTGAGGGCTCCTCACTGATCTCATCTGAGGAAGAG